TATTAGATGTACTTTAATTAGTTTTAATTTTCTTAATGAAATGACTTTTCTTTATCAATTTTTTATGGGAAACTAAGGGAGTGTGTGGCCCGCTGGAAAATATTTTTAAAATAAAAACACTTACTAATAAAAAATAATTTTAAAATATGTTTTAACACCTCATAACATGTGTAAATGTTATATTTTTTAAAAATACAATTTGAAAAATATCATAAATTAATTAGTATAGTATCATTTTTGTTTATAATAATTAAAGAAAAAATAAATAATTCAAATATGTGAACCAATGATTTCAAAATGAAATTAATATACAGTTACAAATAAATATAGCATGATTATATTTAATTTAATTAGTTTTAATTTCCTTAATGAAATGGCTTTTCTTTATCCATAGTGTTTGGATTGGTGGAGAATCTATAATCTATAATCTATAATATAATTAAAAACAAAATTCTATTTACTTGATTTCCCGCTCAAACAATAGTAAATAGTAAAGGTAAATTAAAAAATGAACAGAAATATTTCACAATAATTCTCTACATCATCATCAATTAAAAATGGAACAAAAATTAGGTAAATTGAAAAATAAATGAATATTAATAATTGACTGAAAATTAAAAATGAAAAAAGAAACATAAATTAGGTTAATTGGAAAAGGAAATGAATATTAATAATTGACTGAAAATAAAAAATGATCCATAATTGACTAAAATTGAAAAGAAAATTGTCAGATTATTGCATTTTAATTTTTCACAATAATATTACATAGTAGAATAAATCAAATCACAATTATATCATAAATCTTTCACAATTTTAAGCAATGGAATAGAAATTAAAAATGGAACGGAAATATTTCAATAATAATATTCTACATCATCAAGTAAAAGTAAATAAAAAATGAAAAGGAAATATTTCAATAATAATATTCTACACCATCAATAGTAAAGACATATTTTAAACAACAGTAAAGGTAAACTAAAAATGGAACGGAAATATTTCAATAAAAATATTCTACATCATCAATTAAAAATGGTTTGGATAGGTAAAAATATCACTGCATTTGATATTCTAATTGACTAATTGACTGAGAATAAAAAAGAATAATTGTCTAAAAATGAATCTGATATTACTAATTGACTGAAATTATAAAAGGAAATTAATATTAATAATTGACTACAAATAAAAAATGATCCATAATTGAAATGAAAAAATAAATTGACAGTTCATTGCATTTTAATTAAAAAATGGAACAGAAATTAAAAATTGGACGGAAATATTTCAATAATAATATTCTACATCATCAATAGTAAATGCATATTTTAAACAATAGTAAAAGTAAATTAAAAATACAAAGAAAATATTTCATTAAAAATATTCTACATCATCATTTAAAACTGGAACAGAAATTAGGTAAAAATATCAATGCATCTAATATTCTAATTGACTAATTGACTAAAAATAAAAAAGAATAATTGGCTGAAAATGAATTTGATATTACTAATTGACTGAAAATATAAAAGGATTACTAATTGACTGAAATTCTACCATTATATATTTTTACCCGAGTCACCCATCCTTTTGGACTAAAGGTGTTAGCTCTACACGAAGATAGACAAGATTGTGTTGTAACTACCAATGTTGTCTACAAAGAGGTTTCAATAGTATGTAAATACAATTTGTGATATTATGTTTTTTTAAATGGTAAAATTGCTATATATCTAGACAAAAAAAATATATTTTCCATACAAATAAATTAGGATATCAATTCATTTTTATAACTGAGTTGCTAGAGAACAAGCACATTTGACTAATTTATAAAAGTACTGAACAATGATAAATAAAATCTCCAAAGTTACAGCACCGCATGCGTACATCTACATATTAGCTACTAATTTGAGCAATTAATAACATAAAAACACATAAATGATCCAAACCATACTTTCAATTGCATTATATAATATTTGATGTTCTAATTTAAATAATTATATATCGATCCAAATATTCTTAATATATTACAACAAATCCATTCCGTGCATCGCACGGGCGCAAATACTAGTAGTCTAAAAAACAAGTTATTAATATATTGAGTATTTAATTAAGAAATAACAATTAGGCCATTAACCATTTACTATTAACTAATATAGTAAATTAGTAATCTATTAATTTCAATTTCCAAGCAATTGCAAATTAATATTATTATTACGGAGAAGATGACAAGCAAATAAGCAATTAAACATTATTAGATTACAAAATGGATATTTCACATTACTAAACATATTATAGAGAAGAAGACAAAGCACAAATGAACAATCAATAATATATGTTATTAATATTACAAAGTATAAAAACAAATAGTGAATACTAAAAATTATATTTTTTGTATTATGAGTTATGACTTATTACTAAAAAAGATTTGGCAATGTGTCAAGCGTACAACAAAGATACCATCTTCGGCAAACATATATGCATGGGCCAATTACCCAATCATATATGTTGTTAATCATTCTTTAGTTTGTAGTCTCTTGGCCACAGTTCTTGGGGTAAAATAATGAAGACACACAAGCCAATTCAATTTATACTAGCTTAGCTTCAATTCAGCCTCATGCACATGTATGTTCCCCATCTTCAACTCATTGCATCCAAATGCAAATGCAAATTAAACGACATAAACTGACTGAGAGATTGTTTAATTACTTGGGCGACTTTTCATCGACTCTTGAGTAGAAATTCTGGTAACTTAAGATTAGTTTAGCGTAAGCTTGAAACCTAATATTGAAAAAATATATATATAATATTTTTCCAGAGGATTAAAAGTTTCAAACCAAATTCCAATACCTTCAACAAGAAAATCCATTATTTATCATTTCTTGTCTCACAAGCTCTAGACATATGTCACATGTAAAATTTGAAAATCACAATGGGCTGATAAAATCGTTATTGGATCTTATTAGGGATGGCAACGGGGCGGAACAGGGTGGGGAGTATACTTCCCCCATTCTCGGTGGAGAATCAAAAATAGTCCTCATCCCGTCTCTACGGGAAATTAGGTGGGGACGGGGATTCCCTATCCCCGATCAACTCTTAGTCAAAATCTTAAATTAGTGTAATTTTTAATTTTAAAAATTAAAAACCTAAGTCTTAATTTAATATATATATATATATATATATATATATATATATATATATATATATATATATATGTATATATATATATATATATGTATATATATATATGTATATATATATATATATTTATTTATTTATTTATTTATTTATTTTTAATTATAATAACTATATGGGGACGGGACGGGACGGGGAAGAGTATTCCCGTCCTCGACGGGAATTACATACATTTTCCGTCGTCGTCCCCGTTCCTCAAAAAATTTTCCTATCCCCATTCCTGTCAGGGCGGGGATCGGTCGAAGATCTCAATCGGGGATGGAGCAAATTGTCATCTCTAGATTTTATTTTGAGATTGATTATTAGGTCAATCTTTTTAATTGGCCATGATAATTTATTGGATTGAAATAATTGAGTTGGTTTGATTAGTCCAAATAAGCTTGATTTTTTTGTTATTAAATTAATTAGTAAATCAAGGCACAATTGTGATATATGAGGCAATATAATTGTTATACCATGGATCAGGGTTCATATTGCATTGTGAACTCTAGTAAAAAAATTATGTGTCTGCAGTTGACACATTATGTAACTACAATTAACAAATTGTTTTTACATGTAAACAAATTGAAGACACATAATATGGTCATTACAGATATATAACATGATAATTACAACACAAATTGTTAACTGCAAGTATAGAATATGTTAACTGCAAACACATAGGATGTTGGTTAACATGTTGTGTCTGCAGTTAACATATTTTATACATGCAGTTAAAAATTCATGTGTCTGTAGTTATCATGTTATGTGTTTGTAATTACCATGTGGTGTCAGGTGTGCCTTCAATTTGTTTACAAGTATATAATAATATAAACACTTAACTGCAGTTATAGAATGTGTCAACTATAGGTATAGAATCTAAATGTTATTTTTGGACCCTAGTCCAAAATGCAAGGTAGACCCTAGTCCATGTTATAATTTGCCTATATGAAAGGCAAATTATGTTGTGCACGGAATTGAATTAGATTCATAATTTCTATACTATAGATTTATAATTATTAAACTCTATATTCACAATTACAAAACTCTATGTTCATATTCCCAATTGTTGAACTCTGTATTTACAAATCACAGAACTATATGTTCATAATTTGATAATTATACAGTTTAAAAATTATGAATCTATAGTACAGAAATTATGAATTTACATTATAGAAATTATTGAATCCAATTCCGTGTGCACCTTGCATGGTGCACACGGTTGCACAGCATAATACTCCTATATGAGAATGTTTGGCTTTTATTGAGTAGTTAGCTTTGGATTTGGCTAATTATAGTATGGACCATGGTCCATATTATAATGTAGATCACATATAAATGTTCATTTTTAGTATATTTAATGTTCCCTTTTTATTTTTTTGAAAAAAAAAAATGTTCCCTTTTTATAGTATACCTAAAAATAACATTTTAGTACGAGAAAAAAAAAACATTCAATGCACTAAAAATGAACATTTGATACTTTAATAATAAACCTTATATCAATAATTCATCTTGTAAAGTGAACCTTGACCCAAGTATAATAATTGGTAATAATAGAAGTTGAACATTTTATGCATTTCAAATATACTCCGTAATAAATAGTATAATACCAAATATTTATTAAATTAAATTTTAAATTAAATTAAATTAAATTTTTAATAAATTGTTTTACTGGAACACCATCACGTGCACTTAAAATTGAGATCGTAAATGCATTTTCAATTTTACTCTATAAAGCATCTTAAACAGTTAAAGATTTTGCATAGTTTTTTGTCACATCATATATATCATTGATAATATACTCATAATAGTAAGTGATTTTTTACATTTCTTTTTTCTTGTTTTTTCTCTCCCCTTTTATCTAATTGGCACGTGGTGAAATATAACTTCCACTAAGAATACTTGTCATTTTCTCTTAAAATTGCAGTAGAGTCGGTTAAAATTTTTGGCTTCACTAAAACTAGCCACAGGGAATCTGTTCAGAAGTTTATGCTTTGGCACTTCAGAAACATAACAAATTCCCTCCTCACTTAGGTCACCAGCCTGCCTTTTGTTTCCACCCAATAGTCTACATGAAGAGAATCCCTCAATCCAACAACCTTAAGAAGCTGGCTTCTTGTTTCGCCTTTTTGTACACTTGGCAAGAGCATCACAGATCTCCGCTTTACGCTTGGGAGGGGCGATATTGTTAGGGTTGGTGGCGGCATTCATATCAGTTGCATCATTTTTCTCGCCTTTGCTTGGACTCTTGCACTCAACTTCTAACGCATCCTTCACAAAGAACTTTAGCCTCCACAATGTTGATTCACTCTAGAGGCCGAAGAAAAAAATAATAACCCGTCTAAGTTTCCTTCAAGCCCAAGATAATTTACAAAGGAAAGGTGGTTTAGTTCTGAATTCTGATACTGACCTGTGTATCCATGTCAAGGTCTATGTTTAAAGATGAGGTTGAGATGCTCGGATCGTCTTGAGCTACTATCTCAAGTGCCTTGGTAAGGTCTTCAGGGGACAATTTAGAGAGAGCCACGCCAAGTTTCCTCTTGTCCAAATTTGACATTTTTCTACAAAAATTATCTCGGAGTACACATTAGTTGCCATAACGAATAAATGAAGTGATCTTGTCTGCACTATTAGCCACAGTTGTAATACAACATACTACACCCAAAAAAACACTTCCCAAGTAAATTTATTTGATTTGCGAGACCAAAGAACTTCTTTGTAAACATGATGGCACATGCATAATGATCATGGAACCAGGCTAATGTAAAGGGTTGAAGGAATAAATAGACCTAGCAAAAGATAGGTAAACACTAGACACTTGGCATTGTGACAAAACTGAAACCAGTACAAGGTTGCCTATAGCTAACTAACTTCAGGTAGGTGCATATTATTTGTAACCAAGGCCATCCAGTGTCTTGCATCGGCCTATGACTAGAGGCTGAAAGCAGAATAGAAAACATTGAAGTTTTTAACAAAGAGAATTGTGTAATTAAGAATACAAATGCAGGCCGATCATACGATCAAAGAAGAAAAAAGTAAAACAGAAAGTTGTGCATTGATTCTGAAAAAAAAGTCAAGCACATAATAGCTACAAATCTACAAACAGAAGTGCTTAACTTTATATTCATATTCGAGTGCCTACTACTATTTATTCAGTCATTTTTCTAGCTAATTGTTGTGAAAAAAACTAATAGTGTTCAAGTTTTTAGAGAAAACTTGGTGACTGAGTGTTAGGAAAGGTGAACCAAAATTCATTTGCAGCACCAGAAAAATGTCAAGTGAATGCTTAACAGTCTATCATATTAGAGCAACAGAAAAATGTTGGAGGACTGAGGAAGTTCAAGACAATTAAAGATCAAACCAAAGAACAATGGTAAGAAATTTCAAATAGCAATTAAGAGTAAAAACACACCTGCATCTTTTAACAACTATCCCTCTAAGTTCATCCAAGCGCATATCAACTTCGCATAGCTGTAAAGCATGTATCTCAAGTTATTCAAACTCCCAATCATATCTTAAATCACATTCCAAGAATTGCATGGAGGCACTATTAATAACAAATAGTAGTTTAAGAGGAGCAATCCAATGCCCAAAGCTACAATAAACTTGTACATAAATTGCTTTCCCTTCACTAAATCTATCTATGAAACTAAGAGTTTAGCTAATACCTCATTGTGTAAACCCCTAGCCATTTTTGCATGAGAAGCCTCCTGAGCAAGCTGCATTCTTAATTTAGCTTCTTTTTCCTCCTCTTCTCGTCTCTTTTCCTTGAAAGATTATAAGTAATAAGTGCAAAACATTTTGCAGGTTTATTTCCAGATGGAATTCCACATGTAATTCAGCCAAAGCCTAAAGCATTGTGGTTGCTACCAAAAGAGAGAAGGGGCTGGGGGGGGAGCATTGCTTAAGTATCTCTAACACTTCGGTTACCTCCTCAGAAACTTTTGGCAAAAATTGTAACCATTTCTCCTCAAACTTTTCCAGCAATGCTTTGGCCATTGCATGAACATCACTTTTTTCGTCATTGTATTTCATTGCATTTTGGAACACCAGTGTCACATCAGCATAAATTTCGCGGACATGCTTATACCCAGTACCATCCTTGACTTCCATTTGGTTTTTTATTGTACTGAAATCCATTGGCCTCTTAATAATCTGATAGAATCATAAGTAATTGCATTAATTCAAGCAAGCCACATTTGGAATATCATAGAGAATGTTAACGATCCAACCACAAATTTGGCAAAATAGATTATCTCCTACACAGCTCTCATTTTCTTTTCACATACTTCTATTTTTTTTTTTAATATTGGGTTTTGGGGAGCTGTGCAAAGACAGATGCATACATTGGCATCTGGTAATAATCAGATATGTGCACAGAGCCTCATCGTCTGCTTTGCAGAGAGGCACCCTAAACCTTGAAGTCACAGACTCATGGTCGAGCAACCAGAATATACAATCAATATTTTATTGACATAGCACACAATAAAGAGAGAAACTAAGAAGTGAGAACATTGTCTAAGTGAGAAGTGCAAACGAATGCTAGCCATCGATGTATGAGATCAAATAGCTAATAAATAAGGGGAAAGGGGGAAAAACGCAGTGGCATTTTCATAACTATTACAAATTTTTTTATGCGCGCTGAGAAAAGCTTGTGAGTGTATCTGTCAAAATCTGTGAAAGTAGATTTAAGTTGAGTGCACTGTTAGTTATTAGGAGATGCACTCTCAGGTTTTCCCTAGTGCACATACAAAGTTTGTAATAATTACAAAAATGTCATCACATTTTTCCCCTTTTCTCCTTATTTTCCAGCCGTTAGATCTCCCAACATCGATGGAAGCGATTTGTCCGCACTTCTCACCTGAGGCAATGTTCTTACTTGATCTTTAATATATATATATATATATATATATATATATATATATATATATATATATAGTTGCTTTTTTTACAATGTTCTACAATTACATTTAAGATATTTTCCCCTACTGGAAGGAAGTAGTGTCTTGCGAGCTCATTACAATTCAACTTGCCAAGAAAAATGGGGAAATAAATTTAGGAGTAATGAATTAAGCATTTAAGCATATGAGTGAATGAGAAAATACTACCAGTCTACTACAATTTAGAAAAAGAAAAGTTCCAAAACATTTTCTTAAGATAGATGACAAATGTATGAAATAATTTCTAATGCCCAATAAAACAAATTTTACAGGAAAAGTTGTGGAGTTGAATTTCTAAACGAAACCCCATTCCTCAAAGGAACAAGATGTATTTGGTTTCATGATTGTCTTGGTTGTAATTTGAGTTCTATAACATGTACTCCTGTTTTAGATGTATTTGGTTTCTTTATACTCTCTATTATGGATGCATGGCAAGAAAATATATTCCTTGGAGGGATCCTCAGCATTTTCCTTTTAATTCATTACTTTATTACTTTGAGGCTAGGTGAAGACAAACAAGCTATCATGTAACATATAGTATGTGAATATTAGATTTTACATTTTAAGTGCTGCTTTTAAGTATTGTTTTTTATATATCAAAATAATTAAGTCTTATTACGTTGACCGAAACAGATCTTTTTGAAGTTTAGAATAATACTAGATCTAAAAATCACTTAGAAGTGACATATTATTACTATTGTATATTAGAAACATTAGTATTTATATGTAAATACTACTTATCCTCTACAATCTACAAAGTAATCTACAATTTTAGTATGCAGGTTTGTGGATCAAAGAATGATGTGGATTTTAGAATTTCAAAAGATCCAAATATGGCAAATATTACATTTCAAAGCCTCATAGGTTGGAGTTAATCATTACATTTTTGGAATTGTTTCAAAATATTTAGGCTTGACTAGGTTTTAATCTATTTATTGTAAATTTTATTGGGTACAAATCCATGCACCCTGAAAGCATTTCATACCAATATATACATAATGAATACAGAAATATGTAAATGAAGATCAAAGATGTTTTCTTACCTCATAATAGTCATCCAACCCAAGCCCTTCAACATCGACTGGCTGCATAAAGGGCCATGCCCATTTGTGTTGTGTGATCTAAATCATTGAAAAGGACACATTATTTTAACTGAATTGTTGAGATTTGAGAACATCTAAAACATCATTGACACCTAAGAAGCACTTTGATCCAAGGATCTAAGTAAAGGGAAATTCAGAAACTGCAACTTCTAGCTTATTCTAATTTCTGAGCCCATACATTACAAAGGTATTGTCTTGGGTGCATAGTTTGTGACCTGCAACCAACAAACATTTTCCTGCTTCCAATAATTCATTTCATTGTTGAAATATTCTAGATATCCAAAGTAAAGAACACTAATAATTGGAAGGTTAAATCAACAGGCATATCTTTTTCCTTTGGATGCAAACTCCACGACAAAAAAGAAAAGAAGAGAATTGCAAGTATCGGCAACTACCTGGCGAAATATCGTGCCAAATTGGCGCATAAGCTCATGCATTCTCTTCGCTGCAGCAGCCTCCCTACGAGATGCTTCTTGCTGTAGCCTCTTAACACTAGGGATATGTTTATCCATATCTTTGTCCTTCCCAGTTGATGTGCTCTTCGAGGAATTTGGTAGCTTCGTGATTGTGTTCAAGTAAAATTTCTCGACATCCTTAACTCTTTGCTCAAGCTGAAATTTAAGACTTGTAGCAGTTATTCCAGTTAATATAGGATGAGAAGCGTATACAGAAGAGGCAAAATTTAGAAAACTGAAGCAAGCATGAATGGCCTTTGCCCTAACTGGCCAAAATGTGGTCCTAGTGATATTCCCCCATCCTCTTATGATGTTCCAATAGAAAGATATGTATTAAGTGCATAAATAAAAATAGAAAATAGAAAATAAATAAATAAATAAATAAGGACCTATAGTACTACTGTACTAGTATAAACTCATTCCCATTTGTTCTTGTAGTGTTCTTATGCTGTAAAGATAGGACCACCAATTTTGATATTTATTCTAAATTTTCATAATTGCTCTTACTTCAAGTGATTCCTTTATAATTAAATACTGAACCCTTTGGTCACAAAACATAGGTAAAAGTCCTGTTCAACATGCTGTTTGTGCTCCACTTTTAGTTACAAAGCTACATACTGGAAAGCTTATATTAAAAGATTGGTTTCCTTTAGTTCTTTTTATATGCCAGGCAATGGAACTGTTCAAGGACAGAGCTTTAGAATCTGAATTTTAAGCATGACTACTACTATTAGTAAGCAAAATTATTGTCAAGATTCAGAGTACATTCTTGGTATCAACAAGTACTTGTACTAATTCCTGTGATTTTACAAATATCATTTTTTGGCACGAAGATTATACTACATATCATAATTCATAAATAGCAGATTTGATTGCCTTCAATTGGGTTTAAGTTAATGAGCTCACTGCTAAGTTGCTAAGCATTGCAACTTCCCCTTCTCCAACCTCCCCACCTCTTCCCAACATGAAAGCTCATGTGTTCAAGCAAATAAAGAAAGGAAAGGAAGTATGCTTCCAATTGAAGAAAATAATAGCACTCACATTATCAACTTTAGTGGATAGTTCATTAATACTGCATCGAAAATCATCCATCTCAGGATTAGTTTCAACCTTTCTGGGCTCATGCTGCGAACTGTCCAAATTGGATGCATTCATAGCTACCATCTCATATGCAAACAATACGCTACAAAGTAGGGAAGCGAGCAATCACTGCAGCAAAGCCAATGGCAAATTACAAAGTTACAATTCAAGACAAAGGAATGTAGAAAACCAGATTCATAGCTGCAAGTGCATAATACAATATCATGATGGATAAATGCAAATAGGTCTGCTAAACATCAAACACAATCTCAATAAATAAATAACAATTTCCAATAGCAACATAATTCAATTGAGAATCCAAATTACCATGTTCCATTTCTGGATCAATAAGAACACCAAACCATCAATGGTGATCTCCTAAACCTATTTATTCATTTATAAAACGAGGAACTAGGGTTCATCAAATTGCTATGTATACACACATATGTAAGCAGTAAATTAATATTTCTATCAAATGGAAACAGGACAGAGGTGGAGCGGCGCATACCACCGGAATGCTTAGTTGGCAATGGGGTGGGCAAAAAGGTTGACCTGAAAAGTAGAGAGGCGGTGGTAGAGGGAGGCGGCGGGCAAATCACGGTGCAGAAAGCGGTGGAAACTGGAAACCGGGAAGGCCTGCTACTTTTCGCTGCGGCAGAACTCTTTCTCACTCCGCTCTAAAGTGGCTAATCCAATGTCAAAATTAACGGTTTGGGAATCATTGATTCATTGATGCCTTAGATGATGATGATGATGATGATGATGAAGATGATGATACACTGGAGTTTATGTAGCATAGAACCCAGAATCGGGAAAGCAGAGACAGGGAATAGGAAACGGCCCGACCTATGCTGACAAACAATTTGTTCCCAAGATTAAAATTAGGCTAAATGTTATTCATGTCGCATCATGATCTTTAATAAATGTTATTTTGTGTCATAAATCATTTTTTTTTCCGCTTAACATTTTTTGTAGGTTTTCCGATAAAGAGTATGACATGGCGCAAGTTTTAGGTTCTTTTGACTTATTTGTTAGTGACGTGGCTTTAATTAAATGATATGGGGTCCATGTAAGCTTAATTAAATAAATAAATAAATAATAATAATAATAATAATAATAATAATAGGGATGAAGTTGGCGTGGCTGTATTCCAGAGCTCTGAGGACGTCAGAATCGAGGTCGATTCTCCATAGCTTCTCGACGTCGTCGACGACGATGAGGTCGGAATCGAAGTAGATAATGCGGGTGACTGTGGCGAGGAGGAGATCGACGAGGTAGATGCCCGCGTAATTGAGAGTCTGGTCAAGCGCGCAGCGGATGGAGGCGAACGAGGGCAGGTTTAAAGCCGTAGAGCCGGAAATTAAGGTACGGGAAAGTGGTGACAATGGTGGCATTCACGTCCCGGAAGTGTCGGTGGACGGTGAGGAAGTGGAAGAACATGTTTTTCGAGCATCCGGCATGCTGTAGGACGGAGAGAACGCCGGCGATAGAAGTGTGGCTGTTGGAAACTAGTATCTTTAAGAAAGGATCGATCGGAGCTTTTCTGCATTTGGATCATTTTCACTTGGTTCTGGGCAAGAAATAGCAGGGGGTGTTTCTTCTCGGGGAGGTCTTCGGCATCCCCAGCCTAGGCGTCGTTGTCCCCTCATGCTCGGAGGTTCAAATATAATTTCTTGTGTAGAATTCAATTTTCACTTTTCACTTTTCCTTTGCATAGTGGGAGTGGCCTTCACACACACACACACACATATGGCTTTCTTGCATCCTAATCCTAATTATTATATTATAGATTCATGTTATATATATTGATTATGTTCTGTTTTGCATGCAAAGTTGGGTGAATAAATATGCATGTATTGTTGAGGATCACAAAGGAAAGAAGAGACGTAATGTATATTGAATGAATGACAAAATCAGTTTTCAGCTTTACAGGGCTACTCGTTATATCTGCTATACATTTAGTGAAAGCGGGAAAGGAAAATAAGCTAACCAACAGAGCTAACTAACTGGAAATTTCGCCTGCTCCGTGAAAGCTCCTGCGGCTAGTTAGAAGAGGAGGAGGAAGACGGTGGCTAGGAGATGGTGTTGAGATGCCATTGTGATGCAATCATCCATGGGTAACCAGTAGGAAATTCCACCATAGGAAATTCTCGTCTCCATAGGAAATTCCGCCACACAAAGCTATGACCAAGGTGCTAGAAGTAAAAAGAAAAAAAAAAGAAAAAAGAAAAAAAAAATCCATGTCAGCATTTTATTACCTGCAACTTGTAGGTAACCTACAAAAAGTGCTAGGCGAAAAAAAAAATTGGTTTATGGCTCGAAATAACACTTATTAAAATTTTAATTAGCATTTAGCAACTATGGCATTCAATTTGATTTAAATTTTAATTCAAATATGTAACCCACACAAATAAAGACGGTTATTCTGGAAGATCATAACTTCGAAAAGCAAGTCTTAACCCAAAGATCATTAGTCTAACAATATATCTTTGAGGCAATTTCACCTAGTCTACCCTAGTAGATTTTTATCTCGGATCTTAAAGTTAGGAAAAAATTCAAAAAATTAAGAAAAATTGGCAAAATCTTAGCTTTATGTGTTGTCAATTTTCAAACGAACATTTAACTACACACGGATTCAATATTTACAAGCTCATTTTTAGAACTTGATATGCACTCCCACGTGCGAGAGAGAATCTCTATATTATACAATTTAAATTATTTAAAAAGTTAAATTGCATTTATACTAGTGCAAACACATGTCTTGCCTATGTGCGGCAAAGACTACTTAAAAGCCTTCTCAAATTCCATTTTATCTAACTCAATGGGTAAATTTTAAGAATCAATTTCTTATTCACTCATTATCTATTTTGAGCTAGTGTATAATATATCGAATTAAACATATAATTTATGAGAACCTGAATCTACTTTGACCGGACCAAAAATGATAGTAGACTCAACTCAAAACATTGCCTCAAAATGACCACATAAAATGACCAATTTCTTTACGCCCAGGTGGGCGGCCAAACGGATGCCTTGCAAGACCCCCCACGCTTCTGCTTCCTCCACCTGGCAGCGTCCGATGTTATGAGTGAAACCACCGCACCAGTCACCCTCAGAGTTCCTTATGACACCACCGCACCCCGCCGCTCCGTTTCCTTTGAGGCAGCCGTCGGAGTTGAGCTTATACCATCCTTCCGGAGGTTTCTCCCAAGCTATCGCAGTCTCGACCGCCTGAATGACAGCCCGCCCTTGGAAGTTGCACTTCGCAAAAGCCTCACGCACTTCCAGTTCATATTTTCGCACCCAGGCGTACTTGCATGTCGCTGGCATCACTTCATTGCGAAAGACTTCGTCGTTCCTCCATCGCCAGAGCCACCAAAGCCGGATCCCAAAACGTTCAGGCCATCCCTCTTCGAAACCCCTTGTCGCCTCTCCCCGCAGATTCACGCTGAACCAATCCGCCCAGCTTAGATTTCGTAAACTGTCAGCTGCTCGTCTCGGCAAGTCCGATTCCCAGATGTGAGCCGCTATTCCGCACCCTCTAAACAAATGGGATAGATCTTCCACGTTACCTGCACAACGAACACACCTTGCATCAGTAGTAAGTTTACGTCGCGCCCGCTCAGCATTAGTAAGAATTCGTTCATGCTTCACGAGCCAGAGAAAAAAACAAATTCTCCCTGGTAGTCTCAGATTCCATATGTCACGCCATTCTCTGTCTTGTTGTCCCCTCGTGTTCACCGTGATGGCTTCATAGGCTGACTTCACAGTGAACTTTCCATGCGCGTCTGGTCCCCAACCTGCTACGTCCTCCAGGCTCTCCTCTGTGAGCATGAAACTAGCTAGTCTTTCTTTGATCTCCTGTGGCAGCGTGAGTTCCAGTTTCTCCCAAATCCACCCTCTAGTTCGGTCCCAATAATCTGCTACCGGTGCGTAGAGGTCTGGGAGGCTCAGCGGTGAAAGCATCAGGTTATACAACGGTTGCGGTGTTAGCCAAGGGTCCATCCAGAACTGCGTTGATTTCCCGTTGCGTACCACATGCGTCAGCCCTTTCTCCAGTTGGGGCCATGCAGCAGAAATTCCACGCCAAACATTTGATACCTTCCTCCGTCCCACGGAGGTAGACGTAGGATCGCCTTGCCGGCGATATTTGGTGTTCAACACTTTGGCCCAAAGGTTATCCGGTTCAGTCTGGAGCCTCCATCCCAATTTCATCAAAAAAGCTATGTTCGTCTCATGCATCTGCCTTATACCCAGCCCACCCGTCTCCTTAGAAGACGTCACAACTTGCCAGTTTGTGAGGCTTAAATTCTGATTGCCCGCGCTCGACGTTCCCCATATGAAACGCCTTGTTCTTTTCTCTAGCTCCAAGCACAAGCTTTTAGGAAGATAAACCGTCTGCATGGTGTAGACGGGGATCGCATTAAGGACCGATCTAGCAAGCACTAAACGCCCTGCCATAGACAGCATTTTTGCTTTCCATCTTTCTAGCCTTGCCGCAACTCTATCAAAGAGCCCAGAAAAAAGTATTGCATGTCACCCGTCCATGAAGTGACGGTACACCCAGATAGCGGCCTAGGTCCGTAGTTTGCACTACGCCTAACCTGGCCGCTATGTTCTTGGCAAGCAACGGGTCCGTGTTTCGTGAAAAAAAGACCTGCGATTTTTCCAGACTTATCTTTTGTCCAGAAGCCCTGCAGAAGCTGTCCAAACATGCCTTGATGACATCCACTTGCTCTAGAGAGGCCTCCGAGAAAAGCACCATATCATCTGCAAAACACAAGTGAGAAAGGTTAGGTCCAGTTCTATCTAGTTTAATACCGCGCCAATACCCGTTCTCCACTGCCTCGGCGATGAGCTGACTGAGACACTCTATGCACAGCACGAAAATGGTCGGGGACATTGCATCCCCCTGGCGAATACCCCTTTCAGGTACGAATGGGGCGAGGCGTTCACCATTCCAAGAAATAGAAAGTCTGGCGGTCCAGATGCATGTCATTATGATGCGGATCCAATCCTCTCGAAAACCGGCTCGGCCGAGGGTATCTTGAATAAAATCCCAGGACAACCAATCATAAGCTTTTTCAAGATCAAGTTTAATCGTCATAAAACCCGTAGCCCCTTTCTTTTCACGCATCGAGTGCATCACTTCCTGGTAAATAACCACATTATCCGTGATTTATCTTCCCGGGACAAAAGAGCTTTGGTACGGCCCCACGATCTTCGGTAGAATAGACTTTAGCCTGTTGGTGATAGTCTTTGTGAGAATTTTATACCCAACGTTGCATAGGCTAATGGGCCTAAACTGTTTAATAGTTTCCAGGACAGCTACTTTAGGAATAAGGACCACTAGAGTATCATTTAGTCCCTCTGGCAGATGGCCTGATTCCAGAGCATCCTTAACCACTTTGAACACGCTATCTCCTGTTACTGTCCACGTGTGCTGATAGAACGCCGCGGGGAAATCGTCCGGACCTGGTGCTTTATAAGGCTTCATGTTCCTGAGGGCGTTGTGCACTTCCTCTTTGGTGACTTGTCTATTGAACACCCGCCAGTCTAAGCTTGAAATCTGCGGGAAAGCGGATCCTAAGGCGTTAGCGCCACCTGCCTGACAATCATCCGAGAAAAGGGTCGAATAGAACTTCTGGATATGATCTTTGAGCAAATTTGTATCGGTGATCCAAACCCCCTGGTTGTCCATAAGCCGTGATATTGCATTCCTCGACTTACGAACTGTGGCAGCAGCATGGTAATAGGCAGTATTCCTGTCCCCCGAGGTAATCCAGTCCTCACGCGAGCGTTGGAACCACATCATCTCTTCTTGGAGCAGGGTGTCTTCTAAAAGGGCGCTTAGCTTGCGTTGGAGCTTCGCCAACCCTCCATGAAAAGTGTGCTCAAGTCTGCTTTGGATACCCCCCAGCCTGGCCTGCAGGATACGCTTACATCTGTTAATGTTACCAAAAACTGTCTTGTTCCACTCCGACAGGGACCCTGCCAAGTCTTGAATGTTGGTCTGGAAACTCTTCCCGTTGCTCCACGCCTGGGCCACCACCTGGTGCACATCCGGGTGCGTTAGCCATGCTGCCTGAAATAAAAAAACGAGAAGGTGTTAGACTTCTACGATCCCCTTCCACACGGATTAACACCGGTGCGTGGTCTGACGCAAAACGCGGCAAATGCGTGACACAAGCCTCCGGGAACCTCAGGCGCCAACTTGTGTTGCACAAAGCTCGGTCGAGACGTGCCCCTTTGATGTGGTCAGTGGGCCCATCTTTGACCCAGGTAAGCTTAGGACCCGAGTACCCCATATCAATAAGCCCCTCCTCGTGAATCCAGTTCACAAAGTCCGAACTACGTTGACTGGAAAAGGATGTGTAATTCATGGTTTCCTCTCTATTGGTCACGGCATTAAAATCGCCCGCCACCAGCCATAGCCCTGAAATGTTCCTGACCGCTTGCTTAAGCTCCTTCCAGAGCCGGCGTCGCAGATGGTGCGCCGGGCTACCATATACCGACGCAAAAAACCAAGGTGGTTGTCCCGCTTTCGCGACCTGTAAAAGGACAAACTGGGGATGGGTAAACATCACGTTAACATTAACCGAGTCGTTCCAGAACACCCATATGCCACCACTAAACCCGATGGCCTCCACCCGTAACCAGTTGGCGAAACCCAACTTGGTGCAGATGGAATTGGCTTGAGAGCCAGAAACCTTTGGCTCAAAAAGCCCCATGAAACAAGGTTTATGTACCTTGATCATGTCTTTTAGGGCACGGTGGACACGAATACCGCCCGCCCCTTGACAATTCCAGAGTAAGCAATCCATAAAAACCAAAACAAAAAGGAAAAGAGAACAGAGAACAACACCCAAAACAAAAAACGCAAGCAAAGGACAAAAACCAAAAACGACAAAACCTCAGCGGGCACTCGCGGCCCGCGTTTCCTCGTGATGCATCGAGAACCCCTCCAGGTCCATAACCACGTCCCCTTCGTCATCAAAACGGCCTGGCGGATCGCTGTGGTGTTCCTTCGTAGCTTGCCAGACCGATGATGGTAAGTCCCCCGCTGTGTTCGGAATAAACACACGCGAGCTTATCACCAGGCCGCCCTGTTCACCCCTGACGACTACGTGCTCATTTTCCTCCGCCGCGCGTCTCAAACCTATCCCACCACCTCGCCTGGTCTTGGGGAGATGATCACCTGAATTGATTTGAGCACCCCCCCGCTATCACTGGTTCGTTTGCGATTTGTTTTTCCCGGACAATCACATTAGGACGACGCTTAGTACCCTCGGACCGTACTGGCCTATCCGTGCTCCGGCCCCGACCCACATCACCGCTCTCATATTCTGCTACTAAACCATGCTGCTTCTCCCCATTATCCCCCACCGCCTCTCGCTGTACGTCATCCCCTTCCTCCTGCATGGACAAGGGGGCGAATCGAGATGCCTGAGCAGCCCCCATTCCGTTCAAAGCTCCCCCCTGACCGCGTCCACCCTCCATCCTTCGATTCTTCCCTGATCCTCTGAGCCCTGCACGCGTACCCCTTCCCGGCGCAATCATCCACTGTCCAAAAGGTGCATCCCCCACGACCGGTCTCTGGTTTCCTTCTGTTTGCTTAAGCGCTGCTGTTGCCTGCTCCTTATCCACCACCGCAGGGTCACCCTCCGCAGCTTTAGGGATCGACGGGCATTTGTCTGGTGTGTGGCCATAGACACCGCAAGTGAAGCAAACCATGTGGATTCCTTCATACGACACATGCCTGACACGGTTCTTATATTTAAACTTCGAGATCAGACGCTTCGTGATGTCAACCTCGATACAGATTCTCGCGAACATTCCCCGCGACACCATGCTAGTTGCTTGATCGATCCTGATGGTTCTTCCTAGCTTATTTCCCAGTTTACGCAGGAAAATCATGTTATAGTACTCGGCAGGAAGACATGGTATCCTCACCCAAACAAGCACCTTTTCCGTCGTATCCGAAAACGGATCAAAATCCAGCTCCCATGGTTTGACGATGAGATAGTGATCCATCACCATCCACGGCCCTTCGAACATGGCAAACTCCAGGTCCTCCATGGATCCAAAACGCACCAGGAAGTAATCATTATCGATCGCAATCAAATCCATCCGCCCTTTTGGCTTCCACATGGCTGTCAAACGCCTCAGTAAATAAGCATAGCCTACCTTCCGCCCCATAACCTTGACGATGAGCGACAGCCTCCATGGAGCTCGGATGGCCTCCACCTCCTCCTTTGTCAGCCGGATCGTAGGGCACAGAGGATCCTCCTCTTCTTCGTCAGAGCTTTCATCGCTGTTGTCATCCATAGCCTCCACTGCTGAGAGCGATGGCAGGGCTGCACAGCCAGATACGCTTTGTGCGTAAGTCTTCTTCGAAGGCTCCACCACCTGCACGGACGCGGATGGTGTTAACCGCGCCTATGTTTCCCCTGCATGCGATCTCCCGGCCGGCTCCACCCAACCAGGCCCCATCATCCCCTCCAAAGGTGTTTCCTGGACAATCTCGACGTTCGCATAGGTCCCCTGCCCTTCCGCCACGGCCAGGGATCGGGTCGGCGACATCTCATCGGTGTGTTTCGCCTTCTTTGTTCTCCGCTCAAGAAGATCGAGATCTTCCTCAGATCGCTCCGAGATAGAAATCTACTAGGGTAGACTAGGATTCACCAAATTGCCTCAAAGATATATTGTTAGACTAATGATCTTTGGGTTAAGACTTGCTTTTCGAAGTTATGATCTTCCAGAATAACCGTCTTTATTTGTGTGGGTTACATATTTGAATTAAAATTTAAATCAAATTGAATGCCATAGTTGCTAAATGCTAATTACTCCAAGTCTCCTATATATAGATGTGGTTGGCAGAAATGAAGAATGTTTTACACGTTCAAATTTTTATTTATAGCTTTTTCATTCTTGTAGTAAAAAATTTTGTGTTCCATTTGTTCAACAGTTGGACAATTAGGTCAATTTTAAGGGTTTATTAATAGTTGAAAATTTTAGTAAAAAAATATTAGATCAATTTTATAATTATTACAAATTTTTAAATTCGTAATATTTATGAAACTAACTTGCCATTTTCTTATTATTTTTTAGCAAATGCTTAATAATGCAAATTGACCATCGACTTTCATACTTATTTATAGAGTAAATACCCAAAATGGTCCCTCGACTATAGCTAAATTCACAAATTGGTCCTCGACTTTCAATTTCAACCAATTAAGTCCTTAACTTTGTAAGTTTTACACGATTTGGTCCTCCATCTATTTGACCATTTGTTGACTGTGATTTTTGAGGATATATATGTAATTTCATGGTCCACCGTCGGTTTTTTAAGGTTCCGGTTGCATTTCCAGACCGCACTGTTACATTTGAATCCACTGTCGAAAGCAATCTACCAAATCCGGTCGTCTTTCTTCATCCTCCCTTTGGATTCAATGTAGTTGAGTTCGTACTATAGCTAAGAAGACGCCGTGTTTCTGAACCAGTGCAACATCATCCTGGAGGCCTCCGCGTGCTCCGACGACAGCTGAAGGTTCTTCTGGAGATCGTCGATCACGGTCAACAAACGGTCAAATAGATAGAGGACCAAATCATGTCAAAATTGCAAAGTTAAAGACTTAATTGGTTGAAATTGAAAGTCGATGACCATTTTGTGAATTTAGCTATAGTCGAGGGACCATTTTGGGTATTTACTCTTATTTATAACTAAGCTCAACAATTACTTGTCCTATTTTATTCTCATATACCACTACACTAGTAGAGAGAAAAATGCTAATTGTACAATTGGATACCTATACTTGTACACTTAACATGCATTGATATGCATGTGGGAGGGAAAAAAAATAAATTAAAGAGTTATTTTTAAAATGGATAATTCTGAACAAAATAGAGTGAAAAAATAATGAGTGAATTCCATTTTTGGTCCTACTATTATAGTGGCGTTTTCAATTTCAGTCCACTTTATTTTTTTTTGTCACTTTACAACCACTGTTATTGAATGTGTTCCACTTTTAATCCACTGTTAATATTTTCGTCAAGAGGTCGTATAATCAAAGGGTATTTTGGTCTTTTTATGTTTGTCTCTTCTCTTTTAAAGTAGGCGCTTCGTCTTCCTCCTCCGATATTCGAAGATGGCTCTTCGAACAACGAGAATGGGAAGCCAAAGCTACATCATTTCGTTCGTTCCAACATGGGCCCGCGATGTTTCTTAGGTTTTAGGTTTAATGTTCTCATTTCTTTAGTCAAACATAGTCTTGGATGAGAAAAAATGTCAAAATACCCTTAGATTACACAGCCTCTTGATGGAAATACTAACGGTGGGACTAAAATGGAACACATTCAATAATAGTGGTTATAAAGTGGCAAAAAAAAAAAAATTAAAGTGGACCAAAATTGGAAACGTCCCTATAACAGTAGGATCAAAAATGGAATTCACTCAAAAATAATCTACTCTAAAAACGTATGATTATGAACAAAATAGACTAATAGAGTAAAATTTTATATACTCTCATTTTACTATTTACCTAACTTTCAAAGTATGATATAAGCTTATTTAGTTAAATTTGTATGATAATTTTAGGTAAAGTAGCATTATTACCACAATAGAAAATAAGATAAAGTGAAGGTAGTTTGATTATCTTTTTTTTTTTTTTTTTTTTTTTTTTAATTTTCAAATACGATAATTTCTCTATACTGCATCATTTTTGTAATAAATTTTAATGTAATACTTTCTCAATCTCATTTTATGTGTTGATTTTGGTTAATGAGACTTAATTGAAGTTATTTATAATTTTATTTTTCATAATATTAAGTTTAGAATTAGTATGTAAAATTTATATATTTAGAAACAACATTAAAAGTACTATTAAACACAAAAAAATAAATTTAAATATTATAAAAAATTCTAATAAAAATAAGAAAATAAGAAATAGTTACCTTGACCAATAAATAATAAGTAGGACAGAAATGACACAGAGCATATATTACTACAAGTATAGCTAAACACACAAAATAATGTTACATTTTTATATTATAATATTATCTTTCCTTGTGTAGTTATGTGCTGCCCGTAACGTCGTCTCTCTTTCCGTCTAGGGGTTTTCTTCTCTCTCTTCTCTAAAACCCTTTCTTCCATTTTTATTCACAGAAGTTTTCCTCAGTGGCATGCAATTCTTTCGTTCAGATTACGTATAAAACAAGTGGAGTTTGCAATGTCAGAGAAATCAAATTAAAGGACCACAAAAAGTGCTATGTCAGTGACGAAGAAATCTCCACTCTTCTTCAGAGGTGATCCTTTTTTTTTTTCCTACTTTTAAATGTGATTTGTAGAAAAACCACAAAAGAGCGATTGTTTGAATTCTAATTCTTTTGGTAGCTGATGAAATTCGTGAATTTTGAATTAATTTTCCTTTTGTGTGTGTGTTGGTTGGGGATTCTTGTAGATACACCCTTAAAACGGTGCTGGCATTGTTGGAAGAGGTTGATCAGGCGAAGGAAGTCAAGTATGATTGGAATGCGTTGGTGAAGAAGACCAAGACTGGGATTACTAATGCCAAGGAGTATCAAATGCTATGGCGTCATTTGGCTTACGGCCATGCATTTGTCTATGGATTGGTTGATGAAGCTCAACCTCTGGTCTGTAACTTCCTATATTTACTCCTATATTCCTTTTTCAAAAATGATTATTTTTAAAGCGTATTTCTGGTTTTTACACGTGAAATTTTAGTGGAGTTTAGCGAAATTCACTTTTTTTTTTTTATGATTGAAAAGCCTATGGCAAGGCAATGAGGAAAACTGCCAAGGGAGATATTATGGAACCTGTCTATAAAATGCTAACTTTATGTGTCAAAAGTGTTGTGGTGTTTTACATAACTGTTTTTAAAGCCCCTATTGGATTTTATTTTTTTTTTTGTTTTTTTTGCTGATATTTTGAATTTTTTTTTCCTTCTCTGGAGGGGTGGGGGTACAGAGTTACTTGATTAAGGTTTTGGTGGGATTACAGCCTTAAAGGCTTAAAATGTCTGGTATAACTTTGTGGAAAGCATGTATGTATAGGGGGTAATAGGGTGTCGTGAAAGTTATTAGATTTTTTTGTCTGGATTTCCTCCAACTTAATAACTGATATGCTTTTTTTTGTATCTGTATGTTGTGCATCCTTGACTGTGCCATTTACTGTGATTTGATTAATTATGCACTTTATAAACAAAACAATTTCACATTTTCTGGGATGTGCTACAGCATTGTGGACTAGAATGCACAGGGCATAAGTTGAATGCTAGCCTTTCGCCCTTTCCTTTCACGAGTCCTACTTTAAATGAGTAGTTGGAATATGTTCTAACACACTGATGTCTAGTGGTTGATTTGCTATGGCTGCTTTGCCTCTAAGTTTTTGTTGGCTTATAGTTTTGAAAATTTTGGATGGCAGGATGATGCCAGTGATTTAGAATGTGAATTGGAAGCTTACCCAGCAGTAACTAGTGAAGCATCAGCAGAAGCTTCAGCATTTGTGAAGGTGAAACAAATATGAATGCACCGAGTAATTTCATCCAGTAATTTTATACCCTTTGTGGAAAAGATGCATCAAACTTGTTTATGTTATTAAAGTTATTTTCAATATTATGAGCTTTTAAACCCACTATAGATGCCAAGCACCTTGTGCACATATGGCACCCGGGTTGGACTCCCATATGGGAGGTTGTAAGTTCGAGCCTCAGTGGAGGCGTTATTGGCTCTTTGTGCTTCAGTAGGTTGAGAAAGTAGTTATGAACAGATACTACATTGTAATAGAGACAGTAGAAGAGATATGCATTTACCATTTAGATTTCACAATTCATAACTGGTGGAAATGTGCCTTGTCTCTCTTAAATGAGAAATATTTTGGACATATGGTCTTTTTGAATCCTGAAATACTACTGAAGTTTTATGTCATTGTGGTAGTATGATGTAAAAAACGCGGTGAAGGAAATTGGGCAAGTATCTCGAAAGGAGAATTTAAGGGCGACAGAACAGCTTCACAGCTATCTAAGGTGCCCTTTTTTATTTGCACCCAAATACTCTTTGTAGCTTTAAGATTATTTGAGAACCTTCTGAAAAGCATTTCTTCTTTGCACTAATTTTCGTGTAAATAAGGAACTTTAGGGGCAAAAGAAGAAGAAAATGAAAAAGAGATACAAAAAAAAAAAAAAAAAAAAGAAGCAAATTGAAAGTTTGTTGTACACATTTAATTGGGATAGTGTGGTTAGTTTTACACTTTTTGATTGCAATAGGAACAGTTCATGTTATGTTCTCGGGCAAAAGCACGCGTCACAGGGCGATTAGGGTTATTGGGGGTTGTTTGTAGGTTGTCTATGTTGAGAGATAAATTTAAAGAACAAGGATAATAGGAACGTTTTGAGAGTTTTCCCACCTCTTGATTTTAACTTAACTTCTTTGTTCCTCTATTAGAATGAAAATCCCCTTTATATAAGAGGGCTACAAAAACTAACTAAAACATAAAAAGGAAAGGAAGACTAACTAAAACATAAATAGGAAAAGAAGACTAACTAAAACATAAATAGGAAAGGAGAATCATTAAAGCTCCTTACCATAATTATTTGCTATCTCTAAAGGAACTAAATCAATTCTAATAGTAAAGAACATATCATTACTCCCCTCTTGGACATCAAGCTTGAAATCAAGAAAAAGTGAGCATGGATTAGTCTGGCACCGGTGGGTCAATTGGCTCATCGTCCCCTTCGCCATTAAAGCCAAGCATGTATAGTTGTTGTTTGCAACGATGGCCCTTTACCCATGGTTCGTCACAATTATAGCATAGGCCTTTCTTTTGGCGCTCCATCATTTCTGTCAGGAAGAGTTTATGGAGCCCAGGAGGATGTGATTGTGGCTGTTGGTGCACTGTTATGGCGCAACTAGGTGGTGTTTGGGATGGGAAAGGTTGTCGGGGAGGTGCATGGTGAAGCAAGAGGCCTTTACGAGCATAATCTCGTGCTATGTTAATGGCCTCATCAAGAGAAACTAGCCGCATCCTTTCAACATCTATACATAGAACCTCAACCAAGCCTGCAGTGAATAAACTTACTTGTTGGGAGTATAGGACGTTGTCAGCTCTAGCGAGGAGGGTCTGGAAATCATCTATGAAGTCCTCAAGGTCCCTACTGTTCTGTTTGAGGTTCGCAAGTTCACCCAGGGGGTTGATGCTGCGAGGAGGGCCAAAGCGGAGAGTACAAGCCTCTTTGAATTGCACCCAAGAAAATAGCTGGCCATCCTGGAGGCGTTTTTTGAACTAGAGCTGCGCCACCTCAAACATATAGTAGGCTGCTGTGGAGACTTTCTCGTGGTCGCTGAGCGCTGAGGGGGGATTTGTCAAAGAACAATTCATAGCGATGTAACAACACGAGTGAGTTTTCTTTGCCTGAAAACTTCGGAAACTCGAGTCGGGTGACACGAGTCGATGGAGTGGGATCTGGCGGTGTTAGGACGGCAGTGTCTGGAGTGGCGTGGCTAGCGGTAGAGTGCTGACAGCAGTGGAGCTCGTTGCGGGCTGCTGGTTCGCAAAAAAGAGTTCACAACTGTCATGAGGTGTGCAACGGCTTCAGACAGAGTATTAACGGTTGTTGATAATTCTTCAAGTTTTTGCACGGTGGATGGTAGGTGTTCCAGTTTCTGCACGGTTAAGCGGATGTCTCGCATCTCCTCCTGGAGCTTTTTCATATCGCATATATTGACGCCCGTCAACGGAACCAAAATGTAATGTTCTTGGGCAAAAGCACGCGTCACCGGGCGATTAGGGTTATTGGGGGTTGTTTGTAGGTTGTCTAGGTTGAGAGATAAATTTAAAGAACAAGGATAATAGGAACGTTTTGAGAGTTTTCCCACCTCTTGATTTTAACTTAACTTCTTTCTTGCTTGTTCCTCTATTAGAATGAAAATCCCCTTTATATAAGAGGGCTACAAAGACTATAAAAAGGAAAGGAAGACTAACTAAAACATAAATAGGAAAGGAGAATCATTAAAGCTCCTTACCATAATTATTTGCTATCTCTAAAGGAACTAAATCAATTCTAATAGTAAAGAACATATCAGTTCATTGCTTCATTTTTAGCACTAGAAGAGAAGAACATATATATGATGTCCGTTGTTATCTACTGTGGAAAAGATATTTGGGTTTTGCCCAAGTTTCCCGGGTTCAAGTCCCGGCAACGGAATGATGTCATGAAGTGTGTGTATGACTTGTTTGACCTAAATGTGGTAAAAAGCAACAATAATAATTATTTCATATTACTAGTCTTTTCTATTTTTTTTTCCACTTTGTAATTTACCCTGGTACAATTTCTGCAGAGGTGGGCCGTTCTTAGGAAGCAACAATGTGCCTTGGTTGGGAACAATTCCGAACTCTCAGAAATGCATTTGGCTCTTCGGGCAATGTCACTGGCTCTTGATGTGCCTATGGGGGATAATTCAAAAGCAGCTTCTTCAATCCGTAGCGGTAATTCTCTTGGCATTTATTAATACGCTTGTAGTTGAGCAAGTAAATAGAGCTTTCTAGAAATAAGATTTCAAGTTTTGGACTTGAAAATGCAAGGAACCCCTGCATTTTCTTTTACTTAGGACTGGGTGGCGCAGGTCTCACCAGTGGGTGTTTACTGTCCAAGGTATTAAGATCTATGATTCTCTATGTTTTTTGGAGTTTGACCTAGAAAAGGTGGCATCAGATTTTATCAAAGGTTTCATAGTATTTAATGCATATTTGACCTGTTTGCTAGCAGCTCCCCCATGGCGGTCAATAGAATGTGATCTAAAAATGTTTTACATTTTCTTTTTTTCCGTGTGGTTATTGATTTTTTTTTTTTTTTCTTCTTTGGGAGCTGGGGGAGGGAGTAGATGGGTCATTATTCCCTTTAACTGCAGTAGTGTTTTTTCTGAATTGTCTTCTTCCCATCTCTACTAGCTTTGACTAATCCACTTTGGTATACAGAGGGCACAAATGCAAATGCTGCATCTGGCAATCCTGCTAATCCTCTTGCCTACGATACTTCCTCAGTTAACACAAAATCCCAGCATCAGGATCAACAAGATTTTGCATCAAATGCAGCACCAAAGTTGGCGACACTGGGACCTTCAAAATTGCTGGTATCAGAAAAACCATCTACAAAGCCAAATATCAGCACAAATTTAATGGTCAAAGCAGCTGCAGTTGCTGCTGGGGCCCGCATTGCTTCCCCTTCAGATGCTGCATCACTTTTTAGGGCTGCACAGTCTACAAATGCTGTCCATATCAGTACTGGTGGAGGTCCTTTGATTAAATCATCATTTTCTGGCAACACGAATGCGTTATCGAGTAATGTGCACCTCATTTGTACAAGTTTACCATCTAATTCAACATCCCTACTGAGCGCCTCACGAACTGAACCTAAGTCCGTGCAATGCCAATCTGTAAATCCTGCATCACCTGTGGTTCAATCTAATGCAGTTGGTATGGCCTCAGGACTAAATGCTTCAACCAAGGTTGTCTCAAATGGCAGACACTCTAATCCAGTTGCTGAGCTTGGCATAAAAAATGTGAAGGAAACTGTTGTTTCTAGTTTGGAAATTATAACAGAAAAAGTTGTTCCTCAACAAAACCAAGCTACTTGCCCACATATAGCTTCTGAAGGAGATCAATTATCTGCTTCTACAAGAAATGCACTGGTGGAGAATGCCCAAGGGGATCAAATTGCTGTTCCAGGGAACTCATAAAGAGAGAAGATTGGAATGACTTAAGGGAAGCAAATCAACTGCTCATCTAGGGTGCAGAAAGCTACAATTGCCATCCCCCTCAATAATGGCAACGACGCTGGAGCTGATTGCATAAATGAAATGAAAACAGTGTGACAGTATGAACAACAGGAGCTCAAGGAGCTGCGCGAAAAGCAAATCAGAAATGGTGACCTGGAGGATCTGGGAAGTATGATTGTTGATGTTGCTGATGAGAGACTCACCTAACCCTGATTTGGACTGAGAATATGAGCAAATAAAGTTGTAGTTTTGGATCTAAATTGTACATATTCTCAACACCACCCCCCCCCCCCCCCCCCCACCCCTACCGCCAACACACACACAAAAACACCTTATCTTATTACTCTAGGTTTGTAAATGAAGTATAGTAAGGTATCTACAGTGTTCAGATACAGAATCTTTGATGTGTTTTCTTGTTAATGGTAAAATGTATGAAGATGGCTCACATGCATCTGATTGGTTCTTTCTGCATGGCTTTAACTGCATATGTGAAGCTGTATAAATACAAAATTTTGAGAGTTGGATCACAGGCTTAGCTCTTCGGGGGCCTTTAACTGCAAAAGACTATAAATGTTGTAGTTACTGTAATAATATCATATCCCATCAAATGAGGAAAATATTTCCACAGGGGAAGAACCCTCGTCTAGTGTTTCTCATAAATTTTGCAGCTGGTCAGTCTACACCACAGTAACTATAAAGAGGAAATTATCAGACAGCTATTTGGGCATTGGTAGACTATACTGTCCCTGCAGTGATGGACTTACAAATGCAAAGAGTGATGATCTCTGCTTCTGCTTCTTCAACTTCACTCCAAACAAGAAAGATCTCAAGGGAATCCTAGAATTAGAGTTTGTGCTCTCTCTTTTTACCCCAAATTCATCCAGTTCTTGGAGAGTCGTCTTAATCTCTTCTTGCAGCTTTTCTACACGCTTAGCTCCAGCTTGTAATTCATTTTCTACCTTCTTGTTCTCACGTTTCATGTTAAGAATCTCACCTTGTAGTTTTGCAGCTTGACAGGCAATCAGCTCTTTCTCTTCTTCTTTAGGGACTTCCTGAGAATACCTTGTTATCTCTTCTTGGAGCTTGCAAAGAGACGATAACCTGTTGTGTAAGTCATCTTTCAGCACTACACTATGTTCCAACCATAATGTTAACTCAGTCTGTATCTCTTTCAAGTGATTGTATATAGGGCGGATCTCTGAGAGTTGTTCCAGTGGTTTATTGTCCAGTTGCTGTTTGCTTGGTTTTTTCTTCTGCAGTTCGTCTTGTAAGTCTCTGACTGAACTTTGAAACTTCCCTATCTGCTGGAAGGCGGTGCTAAACCGGAGCCAGAAATCCATGTTCTCTTCCACCAATTCATCAATGTCTGTGCGTATCTTTTCTTCAATGGTTGAAAAAGCATGATTTTCATCAACGCTGTTTGCCTTAAGATCAACACAATCTTCAATGCTGGACAGCTTCAAACTTACTCGAGATGTTGCTTCTTCTTTTGCAGGAGCATCTTCAGGGATTGTAACATCTAAGAATTCAGAGAGAGTCCTGCTATGTGCATGCTGACAATATTTGTTTTCATCCTTATCCTCAAGGTCAGCTTTACTTGTGTTTTCATCTGTAGCTTCAACACCAGCTTTAGTTGTGCTTTCATTCGACTTTATAGTTTCCACATGATCCCCATGAAGCGGCTTTAGTTTTTTCCGCAAAGATTGGATCTCTGCATCCTTTAAGGCTATAGAATTTTTCAGTACTTTCATCTGAACTACATATTGGAAGTGGTTAGCCCTCCTTTTTTTCTCTGCTTCATTAAGCTTCCTCTTCGATTCCTTGTAATTTCTTAGGACCGAGATGTACTCCTCTAGCAGAAGCTTGTCTCTGTCATCCAAACCATTTAGAAATAGCGCTCTCCAGTTTGGCTCAACATCTTCTGTGCCAGATTCATCTTGCTCCCCGCGTGTACTTAAATCTTGAGCTATTCCTGCAATAGAATATGAGTCAGTAGCAGTTAACGAGATTAAAAATTTTCCTTATTCCTTAGCTGGGTGCAGATTACCATGATCTGTATTGCCATCTTTTGTTTGTTTCTCTTCAACTGGTTCATCCCCTGAGATGCCCGAAGTGCTATGAGCAGTGGCTTTGGATTCATGCGTTTGACTCGTGGATGGAACTGCAACACTTCCATCTTCCTTAAACTTGTTTGTTGTCTCTTGGTCTCCTGAGACTGATGAACATCTATCAATATCTGTTACTTCTCTTTTATTTGGCTGCTCCTGTGTTCTGGAATCTGTTTTTTCACCAGAAGACGTATCTTTGACCCCTTCATCTGGCAACACGCTTTGTAGTTTCCCGGAGAGGTCATCAACTCTGCAACTCGCTTCAGTAATGCGCTTATAAATGTAGTTGCTTTGGTTGTTGACGGTTTGATTGAGATTCTCAACTCTCTGAAGCTGTTCTTCGAGTTCTCTGATCTTCTTGCTCATATTCTCTGAATCTTTGAGCAAAGTCTCCTTCTCCTCTTCCACGCTTTGAAGATGAGCATGAAGTTCATTGGCCTTGGCTTTCAATTTGTTAACATGAGCATTCTGAGTCACCACTAAACCTTCCAAATTTATGATCTTATCTACAAGTTCATCAACCTTTTCTGCAAGCCCAGACATAGTAAGATGAGTGCTTGTACTGAGTTGCATCTCTTCTTCAATCTTTTCGCTTAATGACTCCAAATCACCGCTTCCTTCTGCAGTAATCCCCATTTTCTGATTCTCTGATTTGCTCGACTCCTGATTTGGCTTCATGGGCGATTTCTCAGGCGGTATCTGTTCCCTATCCAGCTGAGATACCTCAAATTGTTCCACAAGAGACTGAAATCTGAGCTGTGCATTTTGCACCTTGCGATTCTCAATCTTTGCGTCTTCATCTGTCTGCGTCTGTTGCTTTTGTAATTCCGCCAGTGTCTGTTGGCAAGAATTGAGCGCGGTGGATGCCATCAGAGTTTGCGCCTCGTCATCCTCAATAAAAGTGCCTATCCCAAACTCATCCTGTAAGCTGCTAACTCTTGCCTGCAACTCTGTGACTTGGTTCTCAATATCCCAGTACTTTGCAAGCCCATTTTCGTATGAACTTTTCACAAACTCCCTCTCGGTTTGCAGTGCCAGAATGTGCTTCTGAAGCGCATCAATCTCCTGAAGCGCCTCGTCTTTGCTCAGCCCTGATGCTGGACTGGCGCCAGCTTGATCATCCGCGCCATTGAACTTGAGAAGCCCCTTCTTAGACATTAGCCTTGATGTCGTCTTCGCCTTCTTCGTAACCATTGAAACGACATCAGGAATGCTCATCTTCGGGGGAGCTGGCAAATTTTTCGGGGCACTATTCCCTTTCTCTGGGCTTCCATTGCCTCCTCCTGCTGCTGCTGCTGCAAGGTAACTTTCGCCTTCTTCATAATCATCCATGTCTACCTGAACTCTATCTGGGTAAATAGTGGCAATGGTTCTATTAGCACTCTGAAGCTCTTTTGAGATGTGATCATATCTCTCTGCTAGAGCTTTGTAACTCTTGGAGAAATCTTCCACAAAGTTCAAAAGCTCAGGCCTGCTTTTGTAGTACATTTCCGCCCTTCTTGCAAAGGAGTCACCGTCATTTTCCAGTATTTTGAATATGTAAAGAACCTTCTCCTCTATATCTGCAACCACAAGGTAACATCACTTTGTGTATGTCTCATATGCACTGGAAGATGATAGGTGTATTGTGCTGTGTGCGTGTGCGTGTGCATATAAATATGTTGCTTGAAACCTTGGATGTTTTTCCATCACAATTAATAAAAGTGTCCTTTTCGCTCCTGTGGACATAGGCGCATTGAAGAACCACGTAAATCTTTGTCTTCTTTACTTTCTGCCATTATTTTCGATTCTTGTTATCTCAACAATCACAAACACTCTTTTGGTTAATTGTTTTTTTTTTTCTTCTTCCCTTTCTTTTCTTAAGTGGTTTTGAACAACAACCCATCACAAAAGAAGGGCTTTGATGTAGGTTTACAGGAAACAATTCTCTCCTATGTGATGATTGTAATTGCATCTGAGTGTTTAGTTCAATGAATGTTTATAGCTAGCTAATTCCTGGGAATTTTACATAACGTAAGAAGTTGAGGGGAATGAGATCAATAATGGGGATTGGAATAAACACAACATACAATTACCTTGTAAATTCTGCTGCAGCCATTTTGACTGTTTCGTCCTAACATGGCTTGCAGCCCACCATGAATATGCATTTCTTGCTGCTCTGTGTAACATTTTCTCCTTCTCCTTGTCCCTTCAAACTTTCTGTAAAAGATCATTACCTACCTATCTGAACCTGGATATGATACATCTTGCCTTTTCTCTTTTATATCTAAAACATAAGAATTGATGAGAACATTCATTCATCCATTGCAGAGATTTGTTTAGGGTAATGTGATTGATATTTGTCAGATTTTGGAGTTAAGGATACTTGGTCAAGGTTGGGAGGTTACATCTTTAGATCAGAGAAGCACAAATGTAGGAACCTGTTTCATGTCTGGTTGGCCAATTGGCAAAATCTTGAATCTGCCATGTAATTAAGTTGCAGAACAGATATTGAGGCTAGCTTGCATGTTCTGTTTTCAACAGCATTTTTAGCCTATATATTCTTTCATTTTATTTTATTTTATTTTTTTGAAAATCATTCTTTCATTTTATTTGATTTGATTTGGTCTCTAAGTAGTGTTAACATGCATGTGGGTGTGTAAATAAATAATAATAAACCTAATAAGATTTTTTTTTTTTTTTAATAATAACTAATTTAGTCTAAATATATTTTTGAATTATACAAGAATGAGTTAATTTAACAATAAAAAATAAAATAAAGGTACATTAGAAAGACAATATTACAATGAATGGCATAAAGTCATGATATTTTAATTTATAAGTAATTAATATTAATAAATATAAAGTTATTATATTATTATTAATTATATAACATATTTTATATAAATAACATTTTTATTACGTTAGTATATTGTAAATATAAAGCAATGCATTTATTTAATTTTTAAGATATACGGAGTATTTATTATTTTTTATATCAAAAATTTAAATATTAAAAAATAAATTATTTTCTAACTTCATAAGTTATATGAGTTAATACCCAAAATTGTCGTCGACTACAATGGTTTTTCTCAATTTTGTCCTAAACGACTTTGGTGTCATAAAATAGTCCTAGACTTTTGTGTAATCGCTCAATATTGTCCTCCGCTTATTTTTCCGTCAAAAGGATGCTAAGTTTAGGGGTAATTTAGTAATTTTACATTTAAGTTTTCTCCGTCTCCTTTACTTCACCGGTGTTCTCTCCGTCTTCGAAGACCACCTCGCAAATCTGACCTGCACTCCCTCCACTCTTCCTCAAAACCAACCAGATCATCAATTTGGACTTTACACTCCCTTCAAATATTTGTGGCGCAAATCTAACCTGCACTCCCTTCACTACCACCTCGCAAATCTGACCTTCACCCCCTCCCTCCGTTTATTTTTCAGTCAAAAGAACGTTCTACACTCTTCCTCTGAGGAAAATCATATCAATATAGTCATCGCATTCATCGATCCTACCTGCATCTCGCCCACTATGCGAAGGATTGGACGAAGCTTTGCCCTAATCGCATCCAGCGGTGGCCTCCCTCTCACAAATTGCCCCACCAAGGTACACTCATTTTCAATCGTTGCTAGATAACCCCCCCCCCCCCCCCCCCCCACTCCTCCTCTGTTATTCTTACTATCGGTTTTCATTGGTAGCAATTTTCTAAGATTACTTTCGAATCTCCAGTCTGCACACTTGCTCGGCGTGTATCTGCCCAATCTCCATTTTGTGGCGTAATTTCTAGGAATAGAGCACAATCTGCAATCAAATCCCTAATCAAATAATCAATTTGGACTTCTGGAAGAATTCTGGACATTTTTCTTGATTTCCCCTTTTCCGGTGACCGGACAGCCTCCGGCGGTGGCTCCAACGGACGAGCTCCACCCCTGCCCGGTTGAGTTTCCCCACCAGCCTCCAACCTACTCTCGTGAACCGCCGAGTGTATATGCGAACAAATCTCCTTGTGAGTATAATATGATTATATGAATATATATATATATATATATTGATAATAATCCGTATTTGCATATGAATGTTTAAGTGTATAGCTAAGTGATTAATGTTAAGAAATGGTCGCAATTTGAGGTATTGAGACGGAGAGAACACCGATGAAGTAAAGGAGACAGAGAGAAGACCTAAATGGAAAATTACTAAACTATCCCTGAACTTAACCTCTTTTTGACAGAAAAATAAACGGAGGACAATATTGAGTGATAACACAAAAGTTTGGGACTATTTTATGACACCAAAGTCGTTTAGGACGAAATTGAGAAAAATCACTATAGTCGAGGACAATTTCGAGTATTAACTCTAAATTATATGTATATGTGATATGCCTGGACTCGTACATAACCGTATCGTATGCTTGCTCGGCATAGGGAGGGTCACTGAGGGCAATCATTTTTTACCATCAACCGACCTGGAACAACTCGGACCGACCTCCAATAAAATGTCGACCAGGAATAAGATAACTGCCTTAATTTCCGAAACTTGGATCCTTTTCGAATCTAAAATAGGTTGGGAATGAGGCATATAACCTGACCTCCTCCATTTCAAGATTCAGTCAACAATCACACTAGCCTAACTCGACAGCCGTAAAAGTAGGGGCTTCAACAATCTTTGGGCACGTGGTGAAACTCAATCAAACAATACAATCAATGTTCTTAGTATGTTTTTCAGGTGACAAGAAAAACCACAACCACTATTTACTTAGTAATTTTTCTACCAATCAAATAATAAAATTAATATTCTCAATAATATATATTTTAAATAAAATTTAAATTGCATTTCGCTTCAGTTAATTTGCACCAACTAAATGTGCTATAAAAGTTGAAAGAAAAAGACACACACATAACCAAAAAAAAAAAAAAAAGTTAAATAAACCCCTAAACTTTACATGAAAAAGTCAATCAGTCCCTAAACTTGTAAAAAGTATAATTACACCCTTTAACATGTTATATTGAAAAAATGAAATCTAAAAATCGATAAATGACATGCTATTACATGTCATTAGAATTCCTACATTAATTTTAACATCTCTGGCGACAGTTCGGCGATCGCCTTCTCTGAGATGAGAAGGCAACAAGTTGGTCGCCTTCCATGGAGAAGGTGGATTGTTCGCCTTCTTTGGTAGACGACGACCAACGACAGTTCGATCGTCGCCGGCCACCGGATTATCGTTGGAGATGATAAAATTGATGTCGGAATCCTAATGACATATAATATCATGTTATTTATTGATTTTTGGACTTTATTACTTCAATATAACATGTTTAAGTGTGTAATTGTAATTTTTAAAAATTTAAGTACCAAATTGATTTTTTAGATGAAATTCATGGGCTTATTTGACTCTCTTTTTTTAAAATAAAAATAAATTCGTGCCAAAAAAAAAAAGAAAAAAAAAAAAGGGGATAGATCCGACCCGAAGGTGAACCCGAACACAAATACAGAGACAGAGAGTATGAGATTCTCGCTCAATCGCACTCTCTCCGGTCAGGATTGTTTGAGCTGAGTGGCGGCGTCGATGGAGTCATTGTTAGTGCGCTCAACCTGTTCGACATTTTCCCCTACTCTATCTCCACACAACCACGCCCTTACGGCGAAACCCTTCTTCGCCCGAGCTGCGCGCTTTCCGTTTCTCGCGCACGCCTCGCAGCACGTCAACGCGCCGCCACCTTCCATGGCAAAAGAGAAGGAAGCGAAGCTGTGGGGCGGACGCTTCGAGGAGAGCGTGACGGACGCCGTGGAGAAGTTCACCGAATCCATATCGTTCGACAAAGCTCTCTACAAGCATGATATCATGGGCAGCCGAGCCCACGCCTCTATGCTTGCCGCCCAGGTCTGTATACATATTTTTAACCCCTAAATTATGCTAAACTGTAATCCCTAATGATCAAATCAACCACATTATTAACTGATATATGGATGTAATAAGTAGCGAGGATTTTGTGCTAAGAATTTTGTGCCACTTGAAAGTTTCAAGTCATGGTGGAATTAAAATTTCCTGTTGTTCTTGTTCATATGTTCAATCCAATGCATTTTAATTTTTAATTTTTAAATTTCAGTACAGTTCCAATGATGAAAAAAAAAAATCAGCAGTAAGAATGTGGGTTCCAAATCCCTATTTTGCACAAACATAAGGAGGACCGAATTTAGTTCATGACTTATATTTCCTTAACAAGTGAAATGTGAAAGAGTAGTATTCAAATGTGCACAATTGTTTTGGTGTACCGTAGGGATTGATTAGCGAACATGACAGGGATACAATTCTACAAGGTCTAGATGAGATAGAAAGGCAAATTGAAGCAGGCAAGTTCTTGTGGAGGACTGACAGAGAGGATGTGCACATGAACATTGAAGCAGCTCTTACTGATTTAGTGGGTGAATCTGCAAAGAAGCTTCATACTGCTAGGAGTCGAAATGATCAAGTTGCAACTGACTTCCGTTTATGGTGCCGTGATGCTATTGACAGAATTATTTCACGCATCAAGAATCTTCAGGTCATATGCTTTTTTACTATGGTGTTAGGTTATAGTTATTCTAAAGATTTTCTCGGGATTTTTCCCCTACTGACCATATGAAAAGAATTTTCATAGGATTTCATATCAGAGAAATGAGTAATCTTGTCAGCAAATAGGCTGGAATTTTGCATAACCCTAGTGTGAGACTGAAGATGCCTAATCTAATGTTGTGAATTGGACCTCACTCATGATTGAACTTGCTATATATACAGGTTGCTTTGATTAAACTTGCTATAAAAAATGAGGGTCTGATCGTTCCTGGATATACCCATTTGCAAAGAGCACAACCAGTTCTGCTGCAACATCTTCTCTTAGCATATGTTGAGCAGGTATGAAATGAGATTTATTAATAGGTTAGTAGTGACAGTAGTCAGTTGCTTCTGACTGAAGAATAAAGAATTTCTGCTGAGGTTTATCTAATTCTCATGTTTATTATACAAGTTTCGCTTTTATTTGTTCATGCCATATTTAACATATCTTTAATTTAGAAATTTGAAATTTACCTCTATAAAGGAGGATATTTGGTCTTATATTAGCAATTCTTTACTGCTAGTTATATTTTTTATACAGTGTACAAAGTATTTTTATCCTTTATTGAATGACATGCACCTTATATATAACGA